GGTGGCTGGGATGCCTGGCAGTGGAATGTCACTGATGAGGAGGTGGGCAGATGACCGTGGGGAAGTGCATTACTTAACAGTGCATGGGAAGGCCAGAGGATTCACTGGAGGTTTCGGGCAAACAAGAGGGAGATGTCCAATTATTGAAGGCCAGAGGGACAGGAGAGTCGTATGTGCTGCATGTCACACACCTGTGGAAATGGAGAAGACGAGGTGCTCTGCCTTGACTGAGGCACAGTCGCAGAGTTGAGGCCAGGGTTTTTTCTTCAATCACATCTGCCTCAGTGCCCAGTGCCTGTGAGGCTGTGGCTCTGCTGAGCTGGGCTGTATTCTCTGTGGCCTGGTCGTCCACTGTGGTGGCCACGCGGATGGGTAGGAGGGTCGGGTGCCTCAGGCGCGGGTGTCTCTGAGAGCACTTCCTCCCTCCCTGCTGTCGCTCTTCCAGGGCCCTGGGCAGCAGCTGGGCAACAGCTGGAGAGATGTCCTTGCCTTTGTTTCCCAGGTAGGGGGTCCAGCAGGTGACGGCTGTGCAGCAGCATGAGCTTGCACCCCAGGGACATGCTGCTCCTCTAGGGCTCAGGTGGACAGGGACCCCTCTTCCCTGGGTGCAGGAGAGCCAGGCTGGAGGCTGGGGGCAAGGAGGGGGGATTCAGCTGCTTCTTCTGTGTCATTCTTAGGTGCTTTAGCTGGTCTGGGGGCTTGGGGAGCGTTCGGATATGTAAATTAAAGAAGCCCAGAGCTTGCTCTGTGTGACACCAGGGCCTCATACTGAAAGCTCTTGTAAAAGCCACCAGCACCCTCAGCTTCACCCCCAGCCTCAGGGGGAGGAGGAAAGGCCCCAGGGCTGGAGGGCTGGAGCGAGAGTGGAGGTTCCAGCAGACTCTTAGGCAGGGCAGGGCCCAGCACGCACAGATGTCCCTGAGCAGTGCCCTCAGACAGTCCCCTTAGCAGGACGCCACAAACAGGAGGAAGAAGGGCCCCAGAGCACGATACCATGAGGCTTCTTGGGAGGTTTGGGAATGAGTTCTGAATTAATCCCAATTCCACTTGAATGGCGAGCACTTGCTATTTATTTTATCCTCTAGCTGCTCGGCCATGAGCACATGGCTCCTCCTGCAGGATGCCAGGTGGCAGAGGGGTCTGTGGGGGAAGGGGCTGCAAGAATGTTATTTTTAGCTCCTGTCATTGGAGGGGACACTGTAACAGGAAAACTGGGTAGTTGTCGGCTACTCTGGTGAAGAATGGCCGAGTGGCCTTCAGCTCTTCCCATCCTTGGTGATTCACTGCTGTGACATGAGAGCTGCTAAAACCTGGTCTGTTTAACCTCCCCGATGACCTGACCTCAGTCTTTCATGTGGCGGTGCTTTAATGCCATCTCTACTGCCACCTACTTTAGAGAGGAGGAGGAATGAGGGGGAGGGCAAAGGTGAAGAGTAGCTGCCAGATAACTTCTCTGTTTCTGTGACCATGCTAGGACACCATGCCCAGTGACCTCTGTCCACTTCTCATTCCTGGGGACTGATGGACATGTCTGTTCTTAACTGTTCTTAACTGCAAGAAAGACTGGGAGGGGTCTGTGCCACCAGCTTGAGCAGAACTCAGGTGTTGTCATTGGGAAGAAGGGAAGAGCTGCTATAGGGACAGTGACCGGCTGCATCTGCCAGTATCCCCATCACATAGATGAGGGGACAGAGCTGTGGGGACTTCAGCTATTTTTCAAAGCCATGTAGG